TCTTGTGTCTAATCTTGTGTCTGCTCTTGTGTCTGGTCTTGTGACTGGTCTCGTGTCTGTCTTGTGTGTGGTCTTGTGTCTGTCTTGTGTGTGGTCTTGTGTCTGTTCTTGTGACTGGTCTTGTGTCTGATTTTGTGTCTGTTCTTGTGACTGGCCTTGTGTTTGGTCTTGTGACTGGTCTTGTGTCTGTTGTGTGTGGTCTTGTGTGTGGTCATGTGTATGGTCTTGTGATGGTCTCAACTACAAGATTACTTGGAATATATTTTTTGCCTTGGTTGTCACAGAAAATCAATGCATCAGGATTTGGTTACATGTTGGAATCTAAGTCAGGCATTGGACCAGCATTTCAGAGGTCTTAAAAAGCTTAGGAGTCGTCCAAACACACTAACTGTCTGAAACAATTGTTTGTATCTTGTTTCTGTAGCTGGTAGCACTGGTGGTCTTTGTGCACCAAAACTGAGCAGCCGTGACACGACCCTCAACACTGGTATTGTCACCATCAACAACTACGGATCCTATGTGCCACCGTTGATGTCACACAACACGTTGGCGCATGAGATTGGGCACAGCTTTGGATCCAATGTAAGACAATGTTAAAGCGTGACAAGAGTTCAAGCAGCCAACTTGCATGAAACAAGCAAGTGGAATCATGTCTCTTTAAGCTGTTGTCATTTATAGCATAGTACTATATACAACCTCAATTGCTGCTGTGAAGATGAAGTTTTTATGTCACAATTTGGAATCAAAAGAAGGTGGAGAGATTTGCAAATAGTAAAGAGGTTTTGAAGAGAATGGAAGTTGTAATTTGTCACAGTTTTGGTGAGTGGATCCTGAGTGTCAGTGAGAGAATTGCTGTCACAATGTTCATGCTAATGCGAGGTTTGCATATTCATAATGTGGATGAGGCCACTGTGGGTATACTGCATTATGAAACAAAGTTTATCTGAGCAGAAAGTTGTTTAAAATTTCATAGTTCTCTGAGACCACAGCACAATTTTCTGAGTAAGCAGTAACTAGAAAATTCATTTCTAGACAAAATTAATTTCTAGACAAAATTAATTTCTAGACAAAATTAATTTCTAGAAATGAACTTCCCAAAGTTTCTCAACCAATGATTGCATGTGGATGGTAAGATGTTGACTGGTTATGTCCAACAGTGTTTTGAAATGGTCCATGCAGTTGTTCTGTTTGTTCAATTACACATGCATATGTTTAAAGTGGAATTTGTCCTTTTGGCAGCATGACCCCATGGATAACCAGGTTTGTTCTCCCGGGGGCACGAGCGGTAACTATCTCATGTTTGCTCACGCTTCGTCTGGTGTCCTGGCCAACAATGACGACTTTTCCATTTGTAGCATCGATGAGATTACCCGAGTCCTGAGGTCTGTCTTTATGGGAGTCAGTAAGAGAAACTGCTTTGTGGGTGAGTTTAGATTCTCTGCTTAGAACCTTGGAATAAGTAGAGTTGAAACAGAAGCTGTTTATGGCGATGTGGTCCATTTGGAAACTAGTAGATTTGTTAAAAATGGGTCCATTTGCTCTAAAGAAACACTTCACCTTGAACCAGAATAATTCCCCAGTTTGAGATACTTCCAGACAATTTCTTGTCATTTATTTACAATCCAGAAATACTATCAAGACTTGGTGCCAGATTTTTGTACTGACAGCATTTCAAGTTGTCATTCCTTGACTGGAATCCACGAGTGGCATTTTTTATCTGATTTTTCCCTAGCTTATTTTCACCAGGGTGTGAGCGTGTTAGTAATTTAGCCAGATGAGATGATGAAACCCCTTCGTCAATTTGCAAAAATGAGTTTGGCATTAAAACTCATATCTGATTTGTGATTTTTGGTATACCAGTATGTCTTACATTTCAAGACCTGAATGGAATGTAGCTGCATTACTAGAACATTTGGTCTTTGTCTGGCCTTTCTTAGAGCAATCAAGTGTCACGCTTTGTGGTAATGGCATCTTGGAGGAGAATGAAATGTGCGATTGCGGTTACGAAGGGATGTGTGGGGATTCATGCTGTATTGCACAGAATGCTGAAAACAACAGAGTTAATGCTTGCCAGCTAACAAGCACAGCCATGTGTAGGTGAGTGGAACTGGTTAGCACCAGAAAACCTGCAGACACTTTTACAAGAAATCTATCCATGATCATCCCCAGTTTGTTGTGTGCGCGCACCTCAAAAGTCTGAGAAGTCTATGGAGACAGACTGTGTAATGACTGTATTCATGTGTCGGCCATCTTGAATTGAACATGAGGTTAACTTATCATTTTGGAAACCTGAGGTTCTTATTCTATTGTTCTAAATAATAGAAATGAAGTAAAAGCTTGTTATAATGATGCTAGTTTACATTTAGAATAATTTACAATTTGTGATACATTATTTCTAAATGTTTTAAACCACATTTAAAAAAACAAGCAAAGCGAGACTTGGAACCCCAAATAGTCTGATACCACCCAAGTTAACCATACATTGAATATGAGACATTCAGGGAACAAGATTAAAAATGATTTCCACATGAAAAAGGTCTGTTTAACTTGATCACTGTACGTAGCCCATTGTAGCAAACGTCATGCCGTGGCAGTGCCCCGGAGGGTTGCAAAATATAAGGTTGTTGTACTAAATATACATCAAAACATCAGATGTATCAAAACACACAAAGGAGTCAGCATTAATGGTGTTTGGCCGTGAATCAAATTTGGTTGATGTATAGTGTCATTTTCAAAAGTCAACATTTTCAGCCAAAATAATACTGCTTGTGATGAAGCTAACTAGATTGGCAAGAAATTTAATCCAAGTTCCCTGAAAATAGTGTCCCCCTTTGAAAGACAAATAAATTTTTCAACCAAATGAAAGAACCAAAGGAATTTAAAGCTACTTGTATTGAACATTTAATTGTAAACAGACACTCAAAAGTTGAACTCAAGTTATTTGAGCTATTAATATTTAACACAGTGATAGCAGAGTGTCTACAACCATCCTGCTTTGCAAATTCACTTTGGCATGGCAGCAACCATTCCCTGCATGGGATCTGTTGTGCTATCACTATTCTAAGCGCCGTTCTGTGGTAGTACTGAATATGAATCCATGTACATTTGTATACCTTCCAATTCTGTCATTGTATTGACATTAGCGTGGCTAAACATCTTGAAGACAGAACTGCAAACAAACATACATCAGTGCACAACAGAGGTGTTGCATTGGACCGTCAAAACTGCAATTTATGTTTGATGTTTAGAACGTCAACTTTGCTGTTGCCATTTTCTTGCTGTACTAGTGTCAGGTTGGTCTGGCTTGGCAGTAGCAAGACATCTAGATACAGGACCTCCGGTGGTTTGTTCTTATTTCCAATTGACTTTATTCACAGGGTGGCCATTTTTCTCTCTTGGTCCTTGAATCGATCACATTCAGTGTAATCTGTTAAATGGAATGGTGCCGGACTATTTTGGGTTCCGAACCTCCCTTTCGGTGTTTTTAATGCTGTTTAAAACAGTTCGATATAATTTACTTCGAATTTGAAATTTTTCTCTGCCGAAACTGGCAGAATTTGCGTTAAATTTTTATTTTGTCACTGTTAGTTTTCTCTGAAGCTCCCAAAATGAAAACTTTACCTTAAAAATTCAAGATGACCAAAACCTGAATCCTTTCGAAATGACACTAACATTTCTTTTTTTATCGTTAGCCCTCAGCAAGGAGATTGCTGTGATCCTATGACTTGCAGCTATCAACCTATCAGCCACGTCTGCAAGACAGAAGATGAATGCAGCTTGAGTGCCAACTGCACATATCCTTAACTAAAACTTTATGCTGTTCTAGTTGTTACTGAGGGGTTGGTACGTTAACATTAGAGGGCGCTGTGCATTTTGCTCATGGTTTATAACGAGGGACAGGATTTATGTGGTACGCAGGTATGACTTCTTGATGTACAACAGAAACTTTGCATTTGGGCAAGGCTCAGATTCCTGACTCTCGTTTACCGTGAGCAAAACAAAATTCTTGAGCCAGAGTGGAATTATCTACCGTCGACTGTTATCATATTTTACAGGTCAGCAGCTTGGAAGATCTTCATTAGTGGGACTCGAAACTAGGGATTCCGTGCTTACGTCATTAGCAGAATTTATGTTTGAGCACTGTAAGTAGAGAGTGCTGAACTAAGCATGGAATTTCATGGTTAATGGGCATCGTCAGAACTTTGTTCCCTGTGCAGTGTTTCTGAAAAAGTGGTCGTGTTTTCAGCATCTTAGAGATGATCCAAGTCCTCTGCCCTCTTGTTTAATGTGAGTTATTATCTTCAACATATTGAAGTAACCATTGTCTCCTTAGGCAACTGAGTAGGCCCCAGTATTCAGAACATTTTACCTGAGAGGACAGTGACAGTAGGAATCTTGTGCTTGTGTTAGTTTATACCAGTCATCATCTGTAGATATTCAGGGGTGAGATTTGTCAGAAGTTTTCCTGATTTCAGGAGCTTATCTTCAGTAATTTGCTGATTTCGGGAGTTTTCAAACAATCTCTTGTGAAATCTGGAAAATCCTGAGTTAACCGTTAAGGTGTTTTTATGTATAAAAGTTGATGAAGAACACAAGAAATGGGTATTTTAACCCTCCTTTGGTTTTACAGCACAAATGCCCATAGTCACTGGTGAGCATGTAGTTTTGATATGGAACTCAAACATGCACGGGTTCAATGTGTACACAGTAGATT